TTCCCAGATAAGTTATCGTCAAGTCAAAACTATGAAATTGATTTTATGTAATAACTGACGAAAATTTGATTCCGAGATAGACAATAAGACCCTGTTTGATCCACATTATTTGAAAAAAATACATTCTTAAATAGAGATTTGACGTCATTTTAACTACACATTCTTTAATAAAATATTACACGCAATCCAAAACTTTCCATTATTTTTTAACCACACATTTCTCATCAATACACTATTCAAAATGCATTTTTTCCAAAATAATGTGGCTTAAACAAGGGCTAAGATAATTCACTTTTAATTTTCTGGTCACGACTTTGGTAGAGATAGATGTATTTTCTAGAGTTGTTGCTCATACAGAGCCTTTAAATCCTCAAAATTTCATTGGTTTTCAACGGCAAAACCACACGTTTAGACTCCAATGTTCATGTTTGTGGAAAATCATTCATCATTCAGAGTACGAATAAACAGTAAATCTATTTTGTCGATAATGTGGCACCAGTCAATCCAACATTGATTAATATGTATTGATGGAACACTACATGCAAGCGAAAAAAGGTGGGGCCCCAACCTTTGAGAAATAGTGCAAGTGGGTCCTCAACCTTTAATTTATAGCAGTTGAGTTGTCAACCTTTACACTAAATAAAATATATGCGTATTTGGTTTCTGTCCTTGGAACATTACAAAGTCAACTTTTTGTTAAAAAGACCCCCGTCTTCTTAATTCTTTTATATTTTCCTTTTCTTTCATTTTAGTTTGGCAGATTTTTCTTTTTTCCTTTTTAACTGCATATAAAACTAAGGGTATAATGGTTTTGCAAAGAAAAATTTAATTTTAAAATGCTGAAATGGACAGAACCGTCTACTGGGGACCTGTTTGCTACAGAACTACAAACTGAAGGTTGAGGACCTATTTGTTATATTTTGTTCAGGTTTGGGACTGCAGCTGTAATTTTCCCAATATGTAATAAGTTTATGAGTTGCAATTATCAATTATAGTCTTATAGAGACTTGAATGAAATCAAAAACTCAGAAACTTCGACTGTCACTGCCTCACACTTCTTAAAACTCAACACAAATGTCACAAGTAATTATTAGTTTCCGTAAGGGCAAATGAAATTCTGAACATGAAATGGACATTAATAACTCAATGACGAATTTTTTGCTCAAAAAGTTCTTCTGGATTCTAGAGCACAAGAGTTGAAAATCAAGCTTTTAGTCAATTGAATCTGTCTAAACTCAATTTAGATATGCAGCCTCAATCACTGGTTTTTAAGTCAATAAGACATAATTCTTGTTATGAAATGTTGTAGTGAGTATAAGTATAAAACAAAAGATGAATACCCGATGAGCGGCATGGCCATTTTCATGATGCACCAGATAACTATGCCAAACAAGCCAATGATGATTAAGCCCAAGATTACATCACGTCCATTATTTACAATTCTGTCATGCCCAGGCACAACCTACACAAGTCAAAAAGGTTGCACATGTAATTTATCAGCATACAACGCAGACAAGATTACCTAGAACTGGATGTGACCAGAACCAGCCAGTTCAGTCCGGCTCTATTTGATTCCCCCTTTTTTTAACTGAGAACCAGACAATGTAATCTGGTTCTCGAGATTTATTTTTAAACCAAACCCAAACCACCCTACGCAAAAATTTTATTTTTTATTTGTTGAATTCTGACTGGTTACTGCATTGAGCCAACCCACAACTAATCAACATGAAAGAGAAATGAGAAGAAAGTCAAAAATCTCCTACCAAAATTTCTTTCTCCATTCCAAATTCTCATTTTCTCTGCAGCTCAATTTAATAAGGAAAAATTTATAGTTCTTATAGTACAATTCAGATGTATCTAATAGTATATTCTGTTGACTAAGTTTTTTATTCTTTTCCGAATAAAAGAGTCTATTGTTGGAAGATTTTCCATTTTGTTTCCAGAGAGACAACAGCCAGAACCTTTATCATTTCTGTGATAGCTACTAATTTTCTTGTCCATGAGAGTGAGTGCATGTGTGTGTGCGAGCGCATGCTTGAAAAGAACCTTGTCCCAGAAAATATCCTTGAGAGAATTACTTCATTCATCAAATATGTGTCCTCTATCTTTGTTTTCTCTCTTTCCATACTTAAAATTATTCTGTTTTCAATCAAATTAAGGAAAAAGACTCACAAGCTGATGTTTCTTCTGTGAGTGTTGAGTCTGTGGATGTGTAATGGAGTAGCATAGATTACAGAATTTATATGAATAATCATGTAGGGGCTGTTTGATAAAATTGCATATACATGCTTGCAGGATCAAAGTACGCAAGTGCTTGGGCAAGGTGTATATTGTATGGTAGATATATTGGTTCAACGAGATCTTGAATGTTGGATGAATCAAGGAAGAGTGTCAAATATGTTTCTAGAATAAAAGAGATATTTAAGAATATAGATTTATAGAAATACTAAGCTCGTGGGATATACTATGAAATTATGGAAGAGGGTTTTGAGCACGAATTAGGGTGTAACTCAAAGATATCAAACTATTAGTTTGCTATATGTGAGAGAGATCTACTTTGGAAGCCTTTTATCCGCTTAGGAGATTTTTGCTTAAGTACAAATAAAGCCTATGGTAGGGTGCCTAGGAAAGTGTTAATGATGCGTGCTATAGAAAGAGAGCTTCTATAGGATATATCAATAATACTAAAGATATGATGATGGACCAGTCATGAGAATGAGACGTAGTGGCAGTTTGTAATACAAAGTGTCAATCAGTATAGGCTTTGCACCAAGGTTTTGCCTTAAGTTCTAATATGGACGAGTTTACAAGACATTTCCATGGTGAAGTTTCTTGGTGCATGTTGTTCACTGAAAATTTAGTTTTTGTTGATGAAATTAGAAAGGAGTTGAATAGCAAGAAAGGTTTTAGGTTAAGTAAAACCAAAATGATCTGCAATGTCATTTAAGTAAACAGTTCATTTTTGAGAAATTTTAGTTCAGTTATTGTCATAGAAATTATAGATTGATGATGAAATGCATATGATTCAAGAAGGGTATAGATGAAATGATAAATTACTAAATGAATTCTGTATAATAAGAAGATCTCTATAAGGTTAAAATGTCATTTTCATGAAATAATTAACAGACTCATATTACGGCACTGAGTGTTTAGCTATCAAAAGACAACTTCACAAGATGAAGTAGTAGAAATTAGGATAATCAAGATGAATATGAGCAAGCGCACTAGAATAGATCAGATAAGAAATTTGAATGTTTAAAAGGTGAAGATGATCAGATTAAGAACAAATCCAAGGAAGGACTATTTAGGTAATTAAAGAATGTCATGCATGCACTTAAAGAGACTCCTGATCATAATAGTAATATAATCTCAAAAGGACAAGTTCCAAGAATGGCGGTATAACAACAAAATCTCTACCTCTATAGATTTTGCATGGTATCAACAAAATGTTGTACTAACCCGCCAAATCCAACAAAGATGCATAATGAAAAGTCTACTTTTTAAGGGGATGCAAATTAAAACAATAAGAAAAAAGTTTCAATAAAGAAACAACCTTGGGATTACTTGAATTTCTTGCTTCCACGTTTGATACATTCCATGAAGAACCTTCTTCTGATGTCATTGTTGATGGTGGATGTGGCCAGAATACATACTCCACTCTAAGTTTGCACTCTTCACACTTGTTGAACTATATAAAAAAATAAAAACTTTAATCCATACTACTCTGGAATCATCAGAAAAAAAAAAACCATCTTCCTACAGGTAATCCACTTCTAGATTCCTTGTGTTTGAAGCAGGAACTGCAATAGCAATGCTAGAAGGGGACAATAAAGCTCTGAAAAATAATAATAATAACAATAACAATAACAATAACAAAAACTAATATATAGATTCTACCAATCAATTACCATGTCGGCAGGGATGTCGTTTGTAGTTGCAGCAGCATTTGCAACTATACTCTGAATTAGAAATTTATCACTGCATTTCACATCTGGAGGAAACTCATTCTGTGCTTGCATTTTCACTACATATAGAAGAAAATAATTAACAAAGATCCTGCAATTAATCATGGTTAAACAATGATGATATTATTTGTAGAAATCCCGAAATCAATTATGGGATTATTGTAAGGTATAAATAGAACTAAGTTAGAAAATATTTTTTTCTTTCTTAAGTTAGAATATTATTTTCCTTCTCTTCACAATTGTATTGTATTATTTATTGAGGGACAATACTGTAAGAATGATTAATTAAAAAAGAGAAACGATTATTTCTCATTATGTCTTTATTGACTTTATGGTATCAGAGCTCGGTTAAATCCAAAACCAACTCTCAATGGCGGAAAATGCCACCAACAATAAAAACCCGACCACCTCTGAGACAGAAAACGGTGGAACCGAAATCATCCATACCATGAATTCAATTGGAGTTGATAATTCCTCCTTCCAACTCAGTGTGGATAAACTCCACGGTAGAAATTACAGAGAATGTGCTCAATCAATTAAGTTGGTGATCGGCGGGAAAGGAAAATTGGGTATCTTACGGCGATACAAAGAAGCGCATGGATGCAAAACTTCAAGAAAAATGGAAATTGAAGAACGTCTTGGCTAGTCAATTCAATGAAGCCTACGATTGGCAAGATCTATCTCTCCATGGCAACTGCGCAGGACATATGGGACATCGTTCGAGAGATGTACATCGACGCGAAAGATTCGTCCCAAATTTTTGAAATTGAAACTAAACAGTGGCAGGCCAAGCAAGGAGAAAGGGAAGTCGCTGAATATTACATGGAGATGACTACCATCCGGCAAGAATTGGACCTCAGCATCTGTAATGGTTGAACTCAGCTTCGACCAAACCAGGTAAAATATAATTCCAATTAACACAAAAAAAAAAGATCAAATCAGATGATATCAATAACCTAAGCTGGAAATAGATTAATTGAACTGAACTTCATAGAAAGAACAAGATCTACAAAATAGAGAAAGAGGGCAGAATGGAAGGGAAAGAGAGAAAGAGAGAAAGAGAGAATTTTAAGAGGGAAAGTTCACAATGATCCTGATCTTTTTCGTGCCCTTATTTCTTCTCCCCTTCAGTTCTAAGCAAATTAGAAGGAAGGAACACATTTATAAAAATACAATATATATAAAACGCATTCTTATTACATTCAGCACTATTGACTCAAAACGACACCGTAACTTGATTTCAAAATCGGAGGTTGCTTGTCTTCTTCCTGGAACCTCCTGCCTCTGTCTCCCCATTTCAGCTGGCTCCTTCATAACATCCCTCCTCCTCAGCTACATTTCACCCGCAAAACTGAAAGGATGGAAAAGATGCATGTATGTTCTCAACATTCTCCCAGGTCGCCTCATCTGGATTGGAGCCCTTTCAATGGACTAGCCACTGTTTTATAGCTAGCCCATTCTGATTGACCTGCCGTATAGACAATACCCTTAGAGGCTGAGTATATTTCCATGTCCCTGATTTTGATTTGGAAGTGTATGAATATGAACTTCTTTCTCCCCAATCTTCCTCTTAAGTAACGAAACGTGGAAAGACTGGATAAATTACGGCTGTAGCAGGTAGTTCCAGCTTGTAAGCCACTGATCCAATTCTCTAAATTATCTGAAATGGACCATAATACCTTGCAGAGAGTTTGTTGTTGGTTCTTCTAGCCACTGTTTGTTGAGCATAAGGATGTAACTTAATATAAACCCAATCTCCCACCTGAAATTCTCTCTCACTCCTATGTTTATCTGCATAGTGTTTCATCCCAGCTCTAGCTTGTGCCAGATCCTCTTTCAGTAGCTGATCGATTCTGTGTCTTTCATGAAGTACTTCCTCTACTGCTGCGATGTTACTCTGTTGGTATGGAGCTAAAGCCAACTCGGGTGGTTTAAGACCATATAATGCCTCAAATGGGGTCATTTTAATAGCTGTGTGCAGAGTGGTATTATACCACCATTCGGCCAAACTAACCCATTTGCTCCATTGCTTAGGCTGCCTATAAACCATGCATCGAAGACACATTTCCAAACACTGATTCAGCATCTCTGTTTGCCCATCAGTTTTGGGGTGATAGGCTGTACTTAACTGTAGTTTGACCCCCAAAACAACACCGTCACTTAATTTCAAAAATCGGTGGTTGCTTGTCTTCTTCCTGGTGTTCCTCCTGCCTTTGTCTCCCTATTTCAGCCCTGCTCCTTCATAACAGCATCCAAATGATAGTATTCAATAAAAGAAAAGAGTGGAGAATGAACGAGTGTATGAATTCTTGGCTGGGTTGAACAAAGAACTAGACGATATGAGAGGCCGAATTCTTGGCTATCGGCCATTCCCAACTACACACAACATCTTTGCAGAGCTAAGGCGAGAGGAGAGTCACCCAGTAATTACGTTGAAGAAGAAAATTGGGCCTGAGGGTTTGGTTGATTGACCCTTTCTTCTAACTTCATTGGGCCAAATGGGTCGGTTGAACATGGGCTGAGAATGGTAGCTACAAAAACTAAAAGAAATTTACAAGATGGGCCTAAATATATTGGGCCTGATTTGGAAGCCTAAATGTTTAGAGGAACTCAAAAAATTGGATCTAGCCCGAGACAACAAATGAGTCCTCTATAGTGTGACCATTGTTGGAAACCTGGACATAAAGAAGATATGTGTTGAAATTTACACGAAAAACCAACTGATTGAAAGCTAAGACAGAACACTAGAAATCATGGCTACCAAACCACAACCAATTCCACTAAAACATAAAACTCTACTCCAAGCAGTGCATTTAATTACGAACAACTAGAATAACTCTACAAAATATTTTCCAACCTGCAGTCATCTAGCTCGTCATGCTCTTTGGCCCACAGAGGTAATTTCTTGAGAGCTCTAAATACCACCGCACTCTCCAAAGTACCATGGATTATTAACTCTAGTGCGTCTAATCATATGACGAACTCTCACCATTTGTTCCTTTCATACTCACCTTGTGCTGGTAATCTCAAAGTCAAAATTACAAATGGCTCTCTTTCCGGTAGTTGGAAAAGAGAGTGTTTGAATCCCTAATTCAATTACACTCGAACATGTTCTACATGTCCGAAACCTATCCTATAATCTGCTATCTATTAGTCAATTAATAAAAAGTTCAAATTGCTCTGCAGATTTTTTTCTTCTCACTGTGTTTTTCAAAACCTACTATCGGGTAAGACAATTGATAGTGCTAAAGAGTGTGAAGGACTCTACTACTTTGACGAGACTGATGTAAGTAAAAAAATCGATTTGTTAGTTGAAATTTTGCCTTTGTCCCTAAGAATAGTGAAATTCTTTTATGGCGCTATAGAATGTGTCATCCAAAGTTTCAGTATCTAAGAAATGCATTTCCTTCAATATTTTCGAATAAAATACCTTCTGATCTTAATTGTGAAATTTGCGAACTCTAAAAACATCATCGCTCTTCATTTTCAAAATCTATATATAAACCATCTAAATCATTTGCTTAGATTCACAGTGATTTATTAGAACCGTCACGAACCACTAATTGCACCCACACAAAATGGTTTTTTACGTTCATCGACAACCATACTCGAATCTGTTAGATCTATATGCTAAAAGAAAAATTGATGTCCATTCTGTGTTCATAAATTTTCATTCCATGGTCCAAACCCAATTTCAGACAAAAATTCAAATTCTACGCTCGAATAATAGCACAAAATATTTCAATAAGACACTAAGAATATATCCCCAAGAAAATGGGATAATCCACCAAAGCTCATGTGTCGATACACCCCCAAAAAAATGGAGTTGCTAAACGAAAAAATAAACACCCACTTGAGATAGCTCGTGCCCTAATGTTACTACAAATATAAACAAAATTTTTTTGGGTGATGCCGTTTTTACCTCAACCTACCTCATAAATAGAATGCCTAGTTGCGCCCTCAATTTCGAATCTCCCCTCCAAAAATTTAAAAAATTCTTTCCTAAGTCTCATCTCACCTCCGACCTCTAAAAGGTAATCCTGCCCAACCAGCAACCAGAGTTGCATGCATTATATGAACGGAAAGCAATCGACCGGTTTGGATGTACTACCTTTGTCCATATACATCTCATCATTGAAATAAGCTCGAACCCCGTGCACTTAAGTGTGAATTCATTGGATATTCACCTACACCAAAGTGGTATAAATGCTAGAACCTTGCTTGGTGTACAGGGAAAGGGCTACCAAGGTCAACACAGGGGGATGTGGCATCATTCAATTGGACATAAACAAAAAAGTAGAAAAAGAAATATCAACTACACAGGTGCTGCCTATTCGCCTGTACAAGGGTAATAATCCTAAATGCTATGATTCAATCAGATAAAATGTATTTGTCAGTCTTGATGTCACTTTCTTCAAGAACAGCACCTACTTTCAAAAATCCTCTCTTCACGGGGAGACCTTAAGTGAAGATTTATTCATGGAAATCTTTTGATCCCTTTGAATCTATCTCGAACATTGAAACTACAACACTACCATGTCCTAGTATGCCATCTACAGAAGGCAACCTGGCTCAGGGGAGAGCGGAAAGAACAACATGACTAAGAGATCATAGTTTACTCAAGAAAACCAAAATCAAAGGATGAGGAAAAACTCACACTCAAAGCACCAAGAGAATCGGAACCAGTGATATTTCCAAATGAGTTTTCTCCAAAATCACATAAAAATTGATTTATCTATTGCTCTCAGGAAACAAACTAGGTCATGGACTCTTCACCCTATCTCAAATGTTGTTTCTTATAAATCTCTTATCTCCAGAATTTTGAATTTTTATCTCTAACCTTGACAACACAGAAATTTCGAGAAATATTGAAAAAACTTCGAAAATTCTTAAGTGGAGAAAGGCAGTTATAGATGAAATAAAAGCTTTGGAGACAAATGAAACTTGGGATGTGATGGAACTACCAAAAGGAAAAGGACATGTTAGGTGCAAATGGGTGTTTAATGTAAAATATAAAGCAGGCAAAATAGTAGAATGGTACAAAACTCGCCTAATTGCAAAGGGATACACTCAAACTCATGGCACAGATTACACAAAAACATTCGCACCGGTTGCAAAATTGAGTACAATTCGGGTACTCCTATCACTAGCAGCAAACTTAAATTGGCCACTCCAACAACTTGACATTAAGAATACATTCTTGAAGGGAAAGCTGGAAGAAAAAGTCTATATGATAATACTACCTGGATTCTCCAAGGAAAATGAAGAAAATAAAGTATGCAAACTAAAAAAATCTCTATGCGGCCTCAAACAATCAAACATGGTTTGACAGATTTGCAAACATGTTAAAAAATCTGGAATATCAACAAGGACGGTCGAATCATACTATATTCTTCGAGGTATTTGAAGATAGGATGAAGACTATTATAATCGTACATGTTGTCGACATATTCCTCACTGGGGATAATGCAGTCAAGATAGAGACTAAAAAAGAGTCCAGCCACAAAATTTGAAGTAAAAGACCTAAGACAAATGGGATATTTTCTAAGAATGGAAGTAGCAAAATCAAAGAAGGGTATCAGTATTTCGCAACGAAAATATGTTCTAGACCTCTTAACCGAAGATGGTATGCTTAGGTGCAAACCAAGTGACACCCCTATGAATACTAGAAGAAAATCGAGAACATTGAAGAATCGGTTGAAAAGGACAGATATAGCGACTAGTTGGAAACTAATCTACTAGCACACACTAGACATGACATTGCATTCGCGGTAAGTGTGGTAAGCCAACACATGCATTCTCAAAGGAAGCTCATCTCAAAGCAACGTACAAGATTCTAAGCTATCTCAAAGGCTCTCCTAGGAAATGACTACTATTTAAGAAAAATGAAAAAAAAAAAAAAAAAAGGAGATAGAAATATTCACTTATGCGGATTGGGCAAGAGCAATAGAAGATTGAAGATCATCCACTGGTTATTGTACTTTTGTATGGGAAAATTTGGTTACTTGGAGGATAAGGAATAGAATGTAGTAGCCAGAAGCAGCGCTAAAGCAGAATTCAGAGCAGCTGTCCAAGGAATATGTGAAGGACTATGGCTAAAGAAACTCTTGGAAGAATTACAAATAACAATGAAATTTCCAATTAAACTATATTGCAATAACAAAGTAGCTATCAACATCTCACTCAATCATGTTCAACATGATAGAACCAAACACATAGTGGACACACACTTCATTAATGAGAAAGTTGAAAATGGAACTATTCGTATGATCTACGCCCCTACCAAAGAACAAACTGCAAATATATTCACCAAAGGGTTACAAAGACAAATTTTTTGATGATTTCATCAGCAAATTGTATATTATCAACATCTATAATCCAACCTAAGAGGGAGCGTAGAAATCCCAAAATCAATTATGGGATTATTGTATGGTATAATTAGTACTAAGTTAGAAAATACTTTTTCTTTCTTAAGTTAGAATATTATTTTCCTTTTCTTCAATTGTATTGTATTATATATTGAGGCATAATATTGTTAGAATAATTAATTACAAAAAGAGATAAACGATTATTTCTCATTGTTCCTTTATTAACTTTATTATTCAAATTTTATATCATAATTAATCGCTCAAAATATGACGAAGAAAGTGGAAAGTGATTGCATAACTACCTGTGATATCACAAGTTGATCGAGGCAAAACAAACCCCTTGCTTGGAATAACACAATACTTTATCGTATTCGTAGTCTTGACCTAAATAAAAGTAACGGATTATCTTCAAACATGCCAAAGAAAAGAAAACCATAAGCAACATACTGAAATGATTAATTTAACAGGAACTGAAGGCACAGTTAGAAAAAAAAAAATGTCAAGAAACATTCAAAATACGTTTTAGAATAAGTCCTTGTAATGGTAACAGAAACTTACCTTAAAAGCAACGCGATTCTCAGTCACATTTGACAACTGAAATGAACAAGAGAGCTCCTTATTCAGTTCAACTGAGAAGAACCAAGGTAAGTGAGAGACATAAAAAGAAATAGAAGAAAATAAAACTCTGGAGAACATAGTGGAAAGCCTCAATCAGCTTACACGGAAAGTGGAGCTTTGACGGTTTGACATCAAGTAGCTTCCTTGCTCTTGTCTTTTTATTTCCACAACAAACACATAGATAGATATTCAGTGAATGGAGGCGGACAATCAATGAAATTCCGCATAAGGAACTGATGATTTAACAAGCAAGATTTGCAATGCATTGCCAACTTTTAACTTGTTGTAAATTAAATGAACTGATTGCCTGTCTAAGTTTACTTAGTACATATATTATCCGTCCTACGCCTTACATGTGACAGCATTCTTAAACTTCTGGCAATATTCTAAGCCAACAAAGTGCATGTTTAGCAAACCTTAAATTTTAATTTAAGCCGGTCAAACACTATTTTTATCCCCACATTCTATGGACCCACAACTTATTACCCATCTTTTATCCACATTTTTTATGTACCCGCTGCTTAAATTAAGCACTCCCAAACAAGCACTAAATGAAACGAGGAGGAAACCAAGTGCTGTTGAAATTCACCAAAGGCCAAAGAAACAAAGAGAAGATAAAAGTTCATAAGCCTATACTAGGAAATGAAATGGGAATCACCCAAAGACCAGATAGGTAAGATAATAATTTCCACTATTACAATGTAAGTTGTTAGTCTGATGTCGGAAACAGCATTTAATCGATATTTATTATTAAAAGTTACACAAGTAGCAATAGTTGTACTTAACCGAGAAGGTCTGAAGTTTTAGGAATATAGATTAATTAATTGGGGAACACAAAAAACAACTAAACCAAAACAAAGCAACATAGTTTAAGAGACAATTAACAAACTGCAAACTCTTGAAAATGATCAACATAAACCATAAATTTCTATTTAGCTGCTCTAGATTGCAAAAATATCATAAAACACCTTTCTTAAATAGAAGTATATTCACAAGTATATGATATTGTAGATCTCATGCCGACTCAACATTAGCATAGTACTTCTTGTATTATAAGTACTTTAATTTTCGAACATTAACATAGTATAGATTTTATTAAGTATTTAAAAATAAAAATGAAAGAAAATGTCATTAAATCAAGCAATTCAAAAAAAATATAAAAAAAGACGGAACAAGGTTTAGCACTCAGCAAGAGGAAAAAAGGAAGGGGAAAAAAACTTACTTCACAATCTCTTTCAAGGGGATAAAGATCCATCAAAACTATAAATTATTGAATGTGACTTGTTCATTTAATGCATTTTTCTTTTTCTAATTACCTTATTAAATTATTATGAAACATGGATTTGTGTACTTGTTAATTATTTGAAAACAAACAAGCTGTTCTAAATTGTATATTAAATAACACACAAATTTATAAGAAATAAATTATACTACACAATTGTATTTAAGCATTATTATTATTTACAAAAATATTTCTTTCAACTTAAAGCAATGTTCCCGTTTAAATAAAAATTTCGAAAAATATTTTAAGTAGTAAGAAAGAACGATAGTTAAATATCATGCAGTTACCATTCGAATGCAGTATAAGAGAAAAGTGTCAAATTAAAGCAATTATTCTTTTATGGCTAACATTCAATTCTGAAAAATAAACTTCAAGGGAGGTTTTCATAATTTTGTAAAAGGGGTGTCGGTGTAATAGTTAGTTACTTCAAGGGCTATTTCTGTAATTTACTTTATGATTTATCATATAGATGTGCGAAGTCTAACTTTTTCAAGGGATATGAAGAATTCATTGAGTTTCATTTTGTCATTTGATCTTCATATTTGTTGTTAACTTCACCTAAAGTAATGCCATAAGGACATTTTCTATTCTTTTCAAATTATATGGAAACTTGATGACTGTTGTTATTATTGAAGAAAGCACATTTTATATTCAGAGATCAAATACAAGAAATTTTATATTCAGAGATCAAATACAAGAACTAGACCAGAGAAGCAACTCAACTACGCTCACAAAAATGTATAGATGCATATTCACCAACAAGAAAATCAAACACGAGAAAATGGTCGCCACTAAAATTTTGTCACAATCACCTATATATATTCTAGTAACCTAATTAACATAAGAATAAAGCTAGGCGTACAGGTCCCATTTCACAGGGCTGTACAGGGCCTCTCACACGAGGCATGTTCAGTAAAAAAATACCCCAAAAATGTCCACCCCTGTGTTTGTGAGAAGCCTGTGGGGGTTCTGTGAACCCCACCCTGGCACTGCAGCTTCGTCCTTAACATAAATAAAATAATCAATAGCTATAGTTGCTGGAAAATGCATGAAGAACAATGAAATAGAACATCCAAAGCTCTAGAAAAACAACCTGGAAGCATCAGTAATCAAGAACTTACCGATCCATCAGGAATTGATGATGGAACTTGGGGCACAATATTGTATACCACTTCCAGTTTGCACTTTTGAATAGGATGTCCTTCCTTGTTGAACTACGAAATAAACACGCCAATTCATGAATCAAGAACAGCTGTTATAGCAATCTAGTTCACTTAGCCTATATTTCGAATAAAGAGATCTTTAAAATACAAGTTCAGGTTTTCTAATGCTTTCTGAAACAGTGCTTGAAGATATAATCTTGAAAGACCAATACCAGTTTTGTCAAAGAGTTCTTTAATTAGTCTTAAAGTTATGTGAAAGTGAAGTTGAAACTGTGCAAAATGGTTTCTTCTTTTTCCTATTTCTTTCTGAAAAACAGGAGTAGCCACAACATTCTCAAACAGGCCTTAAAATATATTTGAAAGGATAAAAATGGATAACCGGGCCAGCTTTAAATAAACTCGAATGTATATTAATAATGATGTAATTACCAAACTTCTAAAATCTTCGACAGTTGCGCCAGAACTTGGAACTATACTCTGAATTAGAAACTTGTCCTTACATTGCATGCTAGGAGGAGCCTTCTTCTGGCTTTGCATTGTTACTGCAAAACACACAAACTCAAAAATAAAATACTGAAAACATGTCTTTTATGAAAATAAGAAATAATCAAAATGTCGGATACTGCAATTCTAATCAGAGATTTCATACTCTATTTGACCACTTTTTGGGCTTCTAGTGATTTAAATATGGACAAAAAAAGTCGAATTTGCATATTTGATGTAATAAGCGGGCAGGAAAGCCCTTTTTTTCCTTCTATCTATTATCTCAGCAACAAAGAGTTGCAACTTGACAACAAACCAAAAACAATATCAAGGAAATAACCTGTGATGTCTTTTGTTGATCTGGGTGAAATAATTCCAACATTGAATTGAACCCAATACTTTTTAGGATTAGTGGTCATAACCTGAAATAGAATCGTACTTAATCAAATACAAGGTACATATGAATGACAATATATTCATATAGATAACTCAATCAGCAACAACTAAGCCTAGTCTGCAAAAAAATTTGGGATCGGCTATGTATAGATAACCCAATCAATGTATTTTTACCTTAAAAGCAACACGTTTTTGGGTATTATTTGATAACCGAATTGAACAAGATGCTTGCTTATTCAGCTCAACTTCAAACCAAAAAGAAATAAATAAGTGACAACCAAACAGTAATTGATCAAACCCCAAAACCAAATCAGAAGAAATTGAAACTTACATTGGAAAGTAAGCACTGAAGGCTCGATCTTAAGAAGTTCTTCCGTGCTCATTTTTCCCCCCTCAAATATCGATTAACAATTTAACAATGAAGTCTGTTTTCTGTGTTAGAGGATAAATGGGGGAGGAAGGGAGAAGGATTCGAAGATTGAACGAGCATTGAAATGGAGGAAGGAGCAGAAGAAATTTACCTGACGACATTTCTAATCATCATTTGACTTTGTCGCGGGTGTATATTATTAAATGTACCGAACAAAGTGCAGACGAGAAATGAAAATGAGGAATTTTCAACTGTCTGGCTGGCAAACGCTAAGAACGACCATAAACTCGCGCGAATTCTCATTTCATTTTACTTTAAACACTTCTGACACCACTGCATGAGGTCCTACATGACGACGGACGAGGTAAATAATGAATTTGAGAGCAAGCTAAGGTTCGGTTTGCCCCCATTAAAACTCCTCAATTTCATTTAAATTTTTCTTTCTCCTATTTTCAACCACACAATATTCAATAAAATAATATTACATACAAATCGAAAATTTTTCATTCTTTTACAATCATCCATTTTTCAAAAAATAAAATATTATTCCCCCCATTATAAATCCAAATAATGGAGGCCAAACGGGGGCTAAGCGTTTGATTGCAAAAATAGAATTTGAGTAAAAAAACGAATTTCAGGAAATTGAATTGCCTAAAACTTGTTTTACTGAAAATCGTCAATTAAATATATTTGATTTGTATAATTTTTTGCCTGAAAATGTTAAAATTTTGGATCTTTTGATGTTCGTTTGACTTTATTTTTCATGAAAATTATCAATTAAATAGATAGATTTTTTTACAATTATGGATAGAATTTGTTTCTATTGCCATAAAATAAATTTAAAAAAAATTGGAAAACTTATTTTGTCACCAAAACCCAAGGAATTGAAATTCCTTCACAACCAAGAAAATTGGGTCACGTGGAGAGGAAATGGAAAATGTTTTCCATGAAATTTTTTG